GCAAGTGATAAGCTGTAACAATATTTCACGTTCATTGACTTAAATTAATTTTACCTGAACTTAATATAAATCTTTCATTTTCCTAATGAATTTTGAAATTTACTGAATAGAAAATTCATTTATTCAGAGAAATCTGAAGTAATTAACTGATCATTGTATTTTATAATGAAAATAAATTAAATCTCATTTCTCTTCACAATTAAAATCCTTGAAGCTACAAACAATTGTTTTGAGAAGACTAAGATAATAATAGTTACAAAGTAATCGGATTCCTTCTTTAGTAGCGCTTTTAGATAAGCTAAGATATTTGATAAACATCCAGACGAACGAAAAAATAAGATGCAGCATTGTTATTTTTTCGAAAATGCATTGAAAAAGCTAGCATAGAGAAAAATATTAAGCATAGATTGAATAAGTTCAGATGATAAAATATGATAATAGAAAAAATAGTTCCTTTATTTTATTTTCTAAACTCGAATTCTGGTCTCCAGATATTGTTTATTGTCTTCATCATTCTCTCCAAGAAAATTATGTCAGCTTAAAGACGTGATCGGAATGAACAACAAGAGAAGACGAGAAATTTTTCCTCATCATACTGCATAATGTCTTATTCAGTTTGTTCAGTCATATACACAAACATTTGTTTTTCTATCACTGAACATATTATTGTTGCCGTATGTTGCAAATTTACTTCAATTTTTTATAGGCACAAGAAAGATCTTTTATTGGAAATGCACAATAAATTTTCAATTTTTCTATTCCTCTGTGTCTTTCTACTTTGTTATAATCAAATAAATTGAAAGGAACTAAATTAATCTTCGCTCATCAAGTTTCTTAAAATACAGGAGCAAATAATGTAGACTTGGGAAATGTATTTATATATTTCCTTTTATATCAAATTTAAATGTAAGCTTAACTATGTAAGCTTAAGACTATTTTAATTTTAATTACGAGTTTGTAAACAATTGAAGCAGGCAGGGACATATTGAACCGAGCCAGAGTCGTTGTCTATCCATGTTCATACTTTTAATTCAAACTGCTTTTTTGAAGTTTGAGATCTTTTGCAAAGCTTTTTCTGAATAATTTCACTCAAAGAAAAAATGTAATATTGAATTTCAGATTTGTACGAAAAAATTTTATAGAAAATTTTTGTTTTGCAACCCTAAGGATTATTTTAGATTTTTAAAAGAAAAAATTTTTGATTTTCTAAAAGAAAAATTTGTAATCAAAAATTTTATTTTTATTTCATACTTTAAAAAAATAAATAATTTTTCTTTTTAACCCAAACTCAACATTAATTTTTTGAATTTAAAAATAAAATTCTAGAATCTAAAATAAAGATTTTTGAATTTAAAATAATAATTTTTGATATTTAATGCTTGTGAGGCAGAGGAAATTTCATTCACGTGAAAGATATTATTAAGGATTTCAATACCGGACCAAAATTTCAATCCCGGTATTACTTTATTGTAAATTGTTGACCCCGGGATCCCGGGTTCAAACCCGGGTTTAGATTCGGTTCAGAAACTATATCTATGTATTTATCATTGAAAACTTTTTTAAGTTGAAAACTAAGCCAGAAAGTTATTTTTTTTTGCAAATTAATTGATATTTCCTTTTCTTGTCTTATCTGAACTTTTTAACTTTTTTGGAAAAACTTTAAAACTTTAGTTTTATAAAAAATCAAAACTATAAAAATGATTTAAATAAAGATAGATTTTATCGCAGCTTTATTAGAGATGCATTCGAATGATCATAAAATCTATTTAAAATTCAAAATTTTTCAATTTTTTGGAAATTACAATGGGCATGTGACCAGACTTTTTTCAACACTTTGAAAAGAAAACTAAGTTAAAAAGAAATCCTAAATTATTTGGAAAAAACATGCTGATTATTATTATTTTACACTTTAATATTAACAAGATTTGTGAGAAATTCAAAGGATATCTTGATCCTGTAATCCCGGGATCAAATATTTCTGCGAATTATTGTTTTCAAAAATCAAAAAGAAAAACTTTTAAATCTAAAATTTTTTCTTTAAGTTGCAAAATTTTCCGAAATCAAAAATTGTACATTAAAATCAAAAGTTTTATTTTGGAATGAAAATCTAAAAATTTGCGTTTTAGATTTTTAAAACGAGTGTTTTTAATTTTAAAACTTTATTTTATAATTCAGAAGAAAATTTTTAAAAATTTTATGTTACTTTAGATTTAATAATTTCAATTAGAGTGAGTTGGAAATATTGGTAAAAAGAATCAAGAGTGATAATTTGTGATTCTTCATGACCTGTACAAATAAAAGAATCAATCCAATGAAACCATCTAACTTAAAAAATCAACATTATTTTCATCACAGAATTGAAAACGGTAATGTGCTTTTTGCCCAAAAGGATTTGTACTTTAAAATTGCTTTTGTGGATATCTTAAAGCTCAGTAAATATACAATTTCTATCCAATATCGCGAGTGAAAGAAAGCATATGTGATAAGAAAATATAATAAAATGTTTGTGCGATGTAAACATCAAAATATGTGCTACCCATAAATGCTACGCTACTTGCATGTAATCTTCTATATGTTCATCATCAATGTGTAAAGAATAAAAAGAAAAAAGAAATATTTGCATGTTTGAAGACCTCACAAAAAAAAAAGTCAAACAAGAAAGGAATCGAGGACAATGTGTGTTTGGAATGTTTAAAGGTATTTAGAATTCAATCTACTTCCTTTTTATGCTTGCATGATGGCATTAAGAATCGATGCAAATTGAATTGCCATCTTTTCCCTAATTCAATTTTCTCCTTTCTGTGCTTGTGTATTTGTATTTTCTCTTATTTTTAAGGTATTTATTTTAAAATTTTATGCTGTACTTATATTTCATGCTCCAGTGTCAAAAAAGAAGCTTTAAAAATTAAAATAAACAAATTAATTCCATTTGTTGGGGTGTTGATGTGGAACAAATGTGCTCTTGAGCTCTTGATTTACATTTGAATAAGGAAAATTTGTGTTTTTAGGAAAATATTTGAAGGTATTCAAATGAAAATAATCATAAGCTTCTCATGCTTTAATTTTGCCTTTAAAAAAATCAGTTCATGAATATTTATAAACTTTATCCTTTCGAGTCATTCACAACTAACTTTAAATCCTTAAATTTTATTTCATATGTAAAATTCCAAACTTTCTTTTGAAAATGTTAATGTTGGAAGTCTTTTAAAGTTTATAAAAAATTATCTTCTGGGTGCTCAAAATAGTCAACTAGCCCAAACAAGGCGTGGAAACTATCCCAAATATTCCATTTATCCCATATATCCCAAAAATATTAAAATAGTCCCTGAGCCTGTATGCATTAGAATTGAGATATCCCATCATATCCTGAAACTACACGTCTATTGCACTAAGGATACGTTGTGATATCTTTATTATCGTGCATACATGCTCAGGAATTTTTTGAATATTTTTGGGATATGTGGGATAAATATGATATTTGGGAAAGTTTCCACGCCTTGGATTTTATTGTGTCTAGTTCTTAAAATTTCGATACCTAAGACGCTTAAGTCTTTAATATCCCAAGCTGCAAGCTGATAGAATGTTTCAAATGAAAGGTCTGTCTCAATTCATAATCTGCACACGACAATGGGATAAATAAGTAAGTCTCAATCAACCTAAAACCCTACGTCTTAAAAAGTCTATTAAAATTAAAGCATTGAGGAGTTCCAATTGCAGAAAATCACAAGACAGTTTCGAGCTTTGCAGCTATCATAAAAAGGAGATGAATCTTAAATTAGAATCAAGGAACTCAGCCTTTAAAATGTACTGATGACACAACCTACAAGAAGTAGAGACAAAAGCAGCAATTTAGATTTTACAACCCATTAATTTATTATTCTGTCCTATTCATTGCACATCACATTGACAAATTAAGATAGAAACAGATGTACGTAAATCCACATACATAATATTTAGAATATATATGTAGATTTTTTTTGTAAAAGAATGATGTGACAAATTGACAAATTTGTCATTCTCATAAGCATTATTTATTTTTTTGAATATAAAGCCTTTTACAATATGTTCATGTGGAAATAACATTTCACCTTTTTCATAAATTCTACTCAAAAATTAAATTAAATGCAGAAAGAGAAAAACCGATTTTATGGGGAATTAAAATAAATTTGCTTAACATGCTACGTATTGTTCTTATATGTATGGATAGATATTTGTGAACGGAGGAAAAATAAGAAGATTGAGGGCTTATGCTTGTTTCAAAAACAATTTCTTATTATGAAAAAAAGTTAGTAAACTGCCTTGGTACACAATGTAAGTAAGGAACGAATTAAACTCATAAAAGTGATAAGGACGCAATAAGTCTTTGGATATGAATCAAATTGTTATCGACAGTAATTCTTTGGCTTTAAGATTGACCAGGCTTTAAGACAAAAAACATCCACCAGACATAATGATATAAAAATTTAAATTCACAAAAAAGAGGAAGGAAGGAATGAATGAAAAAATTTAACAACAAAATAACAAAGTTATTCCTCATTCTTTCGCTTGTTACTTAAATATACGTACACCTTTAAGATGAGCACTGAATAATAAAATGAGCAGCTTTCATCCAATGTAAATTCAATATGAACTGAGCATATTTTTGGAAAGCATAAGGATGTAAAAAAGATTTTTAAAAATGAGTTTCATGTTCTAATGACATTCAAAAATTATCCTTATTAATTAAATGCCACAGGCATGGATATAATGTCATTAATGACATCAATTTATATCAGAAGTTATTAATTGGCTAATAAAAGGAAGGTCAGGTACGAAGAGAAATGGGAAATTTAACTATGAATAAGAAGCTCTTAGAAAGATAGACCATGTCAAATAGTTCTATGTATCATAGCCAAATAAGTATGTAGAACCACAGTATAATTTATTTCCTTTAACATGTTCAGCAAATATTCTGTGTCTAATATTCTAATTCAACTTTAAAAAATAGATTTCAAATTTTGGATTGTCATCATTAAATTTTACTTGCATCATGAAACTCACATCATGGATATTAATAGGTACATGATATAAAAACGATCATATTATAATGGATATAAAATATATAAATAAATAATGGATAAAAAAATTAAACATACATTTAAATTACTTCTTATTGAACTTTCCACTTTGCCGACGAGGACGTCCTGTGGAACTAGTGCGCTTCTTTGCGACTTTTTGATTGCTTCCTGTATTAGTAACTGGAGACTTTAAAGCACGACGAAAAGAGCTTGTTCGACGAATTTTCGGAGTAGAAATTTCAGGACTTGCAGTAGATTTGCGCTTTCGAATGCTGGCATTTGTTGGAGACATTTCTGATGATCGACGCTTACGAATATTTGTTGTGGTTGCAGAAATTATTTCTGATGATCTGCGCTTTTGAGCATTGCTTTCAATTCGACTTGATCGACGAATGACTGGACTGACATCTTCAGGTTCAAGCTGATATACAGACTCTTTAGTTGATGTTGCTGATATTTCGTCCATCTCAAAAGTAACATGACGAGTAAATGGGGCTTGTACAGACTGTTCATCATGAACTTCTTGATGCATATTATCGACACAACAAATGCATTCAGCCATGTATACCATGCCTTGCTCCATTGGTGCCTCTTCAAACGAGCGAACATCATCAGCATGCATCATTTCAGCAGCTGCAGCAATGTCAAAATCTTCAGTGCATGACATATAATGTGGTGAGTTGCTGACCATGAGTTCTAGGAATGAAAAATCGATTAAAGTTATTTCTCAATTAAAAAGGAGAAAAATTTAAAAAACTACCGTCACTTGTCGCTTGAGAATCAATCATCAACAATTCGTCCCCAATAATTCCAGCCAGTTCCTGAGAATTTTCCATTTTGATGAATTCTTGTAAATTGATTTGGTTTTGATATTTCTTGATTTCAAGATAGCCTTTAAGGATTGATTAATTATTTTTGGATGTTGAATTAAAAAACGTCTATTCACGCAAAAAGTTTGATTCTGAATGAGGATTTTTCTGAAAATCATAAAATTCAATGATTACTGATAATAAAATTTATTTTGCAAAAATTTTCGTAATGAACAATTTTAACAATTCTTAGCAATAATTTCCTTTAAGAAGCTTTATACGAAGCTAATATATTTGACATTAGATCCATGGCTTTATTCTTCATTAATTACCTCAAAGTTTTAAGAGTTTTTGTGTTGAAATGTTTGAAACTTTTAAATAATTGGTTTTACACCTGAAATTAGCCATGCGTATTGAGCTTGCATATCCTTAATAATTTCGTTTTGAGTTTTCGCTAACCTTTATGCTTAAATATGCTGTCAAAAGTACAATTTCAACGTAATTAAACATTGTAGAAAGATTATATTATTTTTCGTAACTTAAAGGATTTTCGCATGTCCTCATAATGAATGCTTTTAACAACTCAAATCCTTTGAATCAATCCTCATTCATAAATAGTTTCAAATACATAAAAGTGATATTTATCCTTAAAGAAACACATATTTTGGCTCACATAATAAAGAAACAAACACATTTCTCAAGTCACTTAAGCTTCCGTAATTGAATGAAAATGGAAAAGGTTCAAAACAAAATAGAAAAGAAAAGCTTAAGAAAACTCATTACATTAATGGTGGCAGCACATTAAAACAGGAGCACAATGAAATGTTAAGAACAGTTTTTATACACTATTTCGTGTTGATAACTATTAAATTTGTTAAATTTTCTTTCTCTTTGCTTGCTTTTAAGTAAGAAAAATGCTAGCTTGAAAGTGAGCTTGTAGACAAATGTGCGTTTGAAGCAGAACATTCTTCAAACTTTGTAAATTACTGAAACAAAAGTTTTCGCTTTGAAAAAATACATTTGTAAAATCTTAGATGATAATTCTTGCTGTTCCTTTATGAAATAATGAGAAACTAAAGATCCAGTCAGTCAAAATGATTTTCGATGCAACATGAACTGAAACCTGAAATTTTTAAAAAAATAATCAGGAAAAATCTTGTTAAACCACAAAATATACGAAAGAATGAGCACAGAAATAATGATGATTTTTATAAACTTTGAGTTAATTAAAACTTTCTTTGCCAATAGTTTTTCTTCGTATTTTTAAAACTGAGTATATACACATCTATCTATAGAGAATGCCCTAAAGGGTATTTCGCGCAAATGAGAGAAATATTCCATGGGAAATTTAACATCTGTTATGATAGAAGCGTTAAAATATTTTGATGGAAATTCAACTATGAAATGAAAAAAAAAAGATAATAGAAAAAGAAGAACTAAAATGTATAATACAATCTTCTTCAAATTGAATTCCTTCAAGAATGCTACTTTGAATTCTGTCTTGACAGTTTAACATGATGGAGCATAAAATAAGAAGAATAAAAGAGGAGACGAAAGCAAAAATATATATAAATGTTTGCTCTTGTTGTCCAACATGCTTTTTCATTTGTGGACTTTTCCTTCTTCTTTTGCAATTTTTCTTCATTTTTTTCTGCTTTTTCCATCATAAAGAAAATAAAAGAGGAAAGAAGAAGAGTTTTAAAAAAAAAACTAAATAAAAAATATATGTATGTAGTCATCTAATGTTTGCCATTTATTTTATTTTATTTTTATGTCTTAGAGCATATGCGGAGGAAGAAATTATGAACTGTATTTTATGTTAGTTTTGCTCTCTTGATGTTAAGTTGTGGATAAACTTTTCTTTACAATGAAATGGCTTATTTTTTATAATTCTTTTGCAGATGATCAGCAAGTAAAAGAATTATCTAGACATCTTTGCTGAAAGCTTTAACATTTTAACTACTAGAGTGCAGAAAGCAAAGTTTCTTTTACTGCAACTGATGTTTTAATGCTGCTTTTAGGAACCAGGCTTCTCTCGATTCTCTCCAGCTTTGTTTTATTTGAATTTAAACATAATGATATAGCTAAATGTCTACTCCTAGACCAACAAAATCATAATAGCTTCAATAAAATCTCAAATAAACTGTTCACATCCGTAAACATGTATTGGCATTTCTTAGTTTTATTAATTCTTGGTACGATTTTGGTTGTGTATCATTGAATTATCGAATTTTTAATAGTAATATAACAAATAAATATAAGCAGCATGTTTCCAGCCATTTGATCAACAAATGTCATTTTTGTCTTTTCGACTATATCATGAAGATGCTGACAAAACAAAAATTAAATTAAATAGCTGTCATTATTTTCCAAAACTACGCTTAAAGATAAAGAAAGAACAGCTTTCTTCTATTTTGACTAAATATTTTTGTCTCTCTGCATAGCAATGAAATTTACAATGCGACTTATGGCTTCTTATAATATTCAAAAATTATTATTATTTTTCATCTAAATGAATTTGAATTTCCTCTTTTTTATTCTTCATAACAAATTCATTCTTCTGCACTAATGCTTTAGAATTGCTCATCTAAATTATTGCTCTGTGTCATACGATATTTCCTGATAACACTCAATATTTATCCCGCACTCGACAGTATGCAAAAAAAGATCGAGCCAAAAATTGGCTTTCAGAAATAAATTTATCGTCAATTTCCTGTATGCAATGCCTTTTTTTTTTGTATATATGTCCGTAGAAATATTGTTTTCAGCTATTAATTCGAAACATTTAATTTTTATATGATTTTGAATCATAATCAAATTTCAAATTGCATGAATGAGTATTATTGCTTGCAGTATGATTTGTGTTATTTATAAAGAATGAATTCCTTCCTCTTAAGACAATAATTCATTTGCCTTCGCTAGACAAAAGAATCAAGCAATGAAGAGTTGAAAAAATGCAGAATCTTTTAAATCATCTCTCTTTCCTTCTCTGTCCTCCTCTCGATTGGAATAATGCCAAATTAACTATAATTTTGGCATCTCTAATGAAACTAATTGAATTCAATTTGTATTCAGTTATCTTAATCATTAAATTTTTCAATTGTATGCTATCATGGACGAAATTAAATAACAGCATAATTTTTTATTATTTAACGTTTTTCATTTTTTCCTCCTTCATTGGGGACGTTCTTAAATGACATCAATTATATTTAAAAATTACAGCAATTGTTAACAACGTTTAGGTCATGATCCAACATATTTAAATGATTTTAATAACAAGGAAGCATTCATATATCTTTTACATTCTATTGATAATATCTTTAAATTTTATGACATGTCACTCAACCCAAGATCTCCCATCTAAATGATGGACATCACGAATGAATGAAGTCTCACTTGCTGCTCATCTGCTTTTCCTTTTTTTTTCTTCTCCAAGTCAGTTAAGAGCGCTATGTGTCTAGAATGTCGGAAGGAGGGTTTTGTGGTAAAAGAAGCACCAGAAGCTCTCATTTTTGCTGTCTACAGCATATTTCTCTACTGTCTCTCGTTCAAAATGTATTCGAGAATCAAGACGCCAATAGTAGTTTTGGATAGTTTGCAACCCAGCGCAAACATTTCGCATTCAATTTATGATTGAACTTTTTCCTCACTCATTTCATCCATTTTACTGTTGTTTTATGTTATTTCTTGAGATTAAGCACATTTTTAGTTAATTGTCATGATTTTGGTTTATAGTTTTATAACTTTTAATATCACTGCGCTGATTTTCCATTTAATATGTTCTTCAAAAATATTCTCTTAAGTGAATTAAATGCGGCAAGAGCTTTTCTCAATTTGAAAATGTAATGGAATCAAATAAAGACTTTTATGATTATTTACATAAGCATTTATATTCTCACACTATATCTGCCACATTGTTTTCATGCGATTTCCATATTTCATAAACACAATTTATGTTTGTGGATTTTCATTTTCTCAAAATAGTTTTTGTGACTTTTAAAAGTTGACAATTTCGTATAATGTTTGCGTAAATAATATGTTTGTATATGAAGATATGGGAATTACCCAAAATATATGTTGAAAAATGACTTTAGACATTTTAAACAGACATAAAGAGTTCTATTCTGATAAATTGAAATTGTCATAAGATGATTACATTTATTTACTCGGCTAGCTTTCAAGCCAAGGGATTGTGGTCCACTTTTACTGTAAAAAAACGACTTACGGAGAAAGCCGTGAACCTCCACGCTTCTTTTCAAATACTCAATTCAATTGCTTCTCCTTTATTCATTCTTTTGAATGACTGCTAAGCAATACCGTTAACATCGCCAAGAACAACGCTTGTTTCTTGTCTTATCAACAACACTTTTTGATTGAAAGAACTTGTATATAGTGAGAATCAAAGCTAAACGTTAAGATTGTCATAAACTTTACTCTTCAGGAAAAGTTCAAATAATAAATTTTTCTTCTTAAATAATTCAAGAATTGCAAACAAGTAAAATCACAGTAAACATGAAATGGGGAATCATTTAATAAATGAAACGTAAAAAGTGTGTAAAAACATGGTGCAGTTGGAAACTAATGATTTGGTGATTTCAGTGCACATTATCGATTGCTCTTTAAACACAGAATGGAAGGGCTGTTTGCCTGAATTAAATTAAATTGGAATCAAAAATGACAAAATCAAATTTCATATTTGACGACACATGGGAAAAGATGCAGCTGATCTGTTTTATCAATTAGGACTGTCTGAAGAAGTAAATGGAATGAAAATTGACAAGAAAAGTTATCTTGGAATTTTTGATCCATGCAACAAGAGAGAAAGTGCGTTTGTTTGAATGGCAACACAGTGAATTCTTAATTGTCTTTAAACTTGAATGTGGTGAAGCAGGATGTAAAGAAGGATCTAAAAAGGTTAGTCAAATCATAGAAAAGAAGGATTGCTCAGTTGATTCAGATTCAGTTAAACCTAAAAAGAATTGACTTGCTTAATCTTAACAAATTGCCTTCTGTTGGTGAGATAACTTTTTATCAAATAAAGAATCCCAAATTTTTCAAGCTTAAACAGAAAAAACTAAGATTGATTTATGCTGTAAAAAGCTTTAGCAACAACCAAAAATATAGCGACAACATATTTGT